CTCAGAGATCTTATTCTGAGTATTCACAGCAGCCGTAAGCCTCTCCAAGATCTTATCCGTGCTGCACTCAATGAGGATAAGCAGAAGAGTTGAATGAATGGATGAATGAATGAATGAATGGATGGTGTAACAAGTGCTACAGTTTTGCACAGTGTCTGTCTGCTAGCTAATGGTACAGTGGCTGTACCCAGTGAGGAAAAAATGATAAAGTGGGATAATATCACTCGAGACAGAGAAAGGTATAAGAAAAAACAGGAAGATGAGAGATTATTTTCTAAGGTAAGGACTCCTTAGCAAGTCATATTATAATATGACAAAATAAAGTTGTCCTAAATCATTTTAATTTTTTTTAATTGGATATTGGATCTGTACATATATTGTCTGGATATTTCCAATTCTGAAACTATATTAGAAGAAAAGTCCATGTCAATCAAAGTATATACTTGACTGTAAGGGCAGGCTAAACTGGGAAGTTTAATGGTTACAGTGATGAACTGGTGAAGGGCAGACTTATTCATAGAAAATGCTCTTAAACTGGTTGTTGTTCTCTTTTCTTTTTTTTTTATTGTTTTAATTTGTAATATTAAAAAATATTTTACAACTTTTAATTGTTTAGTATAGCACTTTGGGCAACTATTTTTCCGTGTTTAAATAAATAAATTTTACTTATTTGTCTTATTTGTGTGCAAACCTAGCAAACTTGTGGACTATTTTTTATCAGATCTGACTGAAATAATCATTTTTTCCCCCCCAAACACGCTATAGTCAAAGCTTATACATCGTGTTTTCTTCTGACTTTTATAACTCCTTTACAGATCATGTGTCAGTTGTGTTGAATTCAGCTGCTGGTGTAACAGTATTCCAATTTCTCGGGGTTTTTTTGCTCATTCATAGAAGCTGTACAAGAAGGAAGTGAGGCCTCCTTTCAAACCGACCGTTGGCAGACCTGAAGACACTTTCCATTTTGACCCTGAGTTCACCTCCAGAACACCTACTGGTAACTAAAGCATGTAGACACACATGCAAATACAGAATTAATGTATAGGTTATAGGCGACTGGGTTCAATGAGGAACAGAAAAAAAAGAAAACTACCATACTGATCAATCGTTTTTACTAAACTTTAATATTTCTAAAACACTGTCAAGCACTCTGCAGACGTTTGGTTCAATGTGTCTTGGGATATCCAGATTCTCCAGGCATCCCTCCCAGCGCGAACACACACCAGTTGTTTCGTGGTTTTAGCTTCGTTGCAACTAACCAAACTCAGGAGTCCAGTGTTGCTCCAGTAGCGGCCACTCCTCAAGAGCTGAACATCAACCCCATCGCACAGGTATAACTCTACATCTAATTAAATCACAGACTAGCACACAGTTTATGTATTTAGGTTTCTGACCTTTCCAAACATTACCTCAAATAAATTCCCTGTCAGCAACTACATAAGTCATTTAATGTTGTAGTGTTTGTGCACCTGATTATGTGTTTTCTACATAGCATCTCTGTGGTGATCTGGCCTTCGGTGATGTTTATGATCTGAAAGAAGAAATCGGACACACGGGAACCTCTGTCTGCAAAAGATGTCTGCACAGAATTACTTCAGTGGAGTATTGTGTGAAGGTAGGGGACACTTAACCTGAACTGCAATTTATTTAAATACACTATTGATTTACTCTTTGCCTTTAGAGCCTCAGCAGTAATATTCTTTACTATGATGGTGTTGAATGTAAACAGGGCTATTTGTTAGCTTGTGAAATGACTATTTGGGGCTGCTTACATATTAAAATAAAATGTAGTCAAACTGGACAAAACTTGCATGCTTCCTGAGCTGTAACTCAGAGTTAGTTACAAATCACTGGTGATCCATTATGCTAATATGCTGTGCACATTTATGTCAGATTATTGACAGAGCGAGGAGAGATCCGTCAGAAGAGATTGAGATTCTGTTAAGATATGGACAGCATCCAAATATTATTACCCTGAAAGATGTAAGTACAGCACATGAGCCTGCAGAATAGTGATTTTTAATTTGCATGTAATTTTTCCTAAGCATTTTTTCTTTTTTTTTTAAAAAGATATTTGTTTGTATCTTTCTTCTGCATTCACCTTTACCTATAGGTGTTTGACGATGGCCAGTGTGTGTATCTGGTTCAGGAGTTACTGAGAGGGGACGAGTTGCTGGACAAAGCTCTGATGCACACAAATTTTACTGAGAGAGATGCATCAGACATCATGTGCGCTCTGACCAAAACTGTGGAATATTTACACTCACAGGGGGTAAGCTGGATGAAAGGAGGGCTTAAAAATCAATCTTTGAATTCAGGTGGGGCAGTTCAGTCCCAGTGTCATAACATAGTGCATATACATTGCCAAAACTCCATAACTTCAGAGGTCATTAACATCAGCACAAAAGCTGTGTGCTGGGAGCTTCAATGGCAATGTCCATGTAGTATATTTATATGTATGCACATTATTAAGGCTTAATGGTGACTTGTTATTATATTTTCCAGGTTGTACATCGAGACTTGAAACCCAGCAACATCCGCTATGCAGATGACAGTGGACTCCCAGAATGCATCAGGATATGCGACTTTGGTTTTGCCAAACAGCTCAGAGCTGAAAATGGTTTGCTGATGACTCCCTGTTACACAGCTACGTTCATGGCTCCTGAGGTACATCAGCAGTCATTACAAGGTGCATCTCAGTATCACTTATACAAATTAATTAACAGATATCTGTGAGTGGTTTTCTTTGCTTTTTTTGTATATGTGCAGATTTTGAGGAAACAGGGTTATGATGCAGCCTGTGATATCTGGAGCCTGGGGATCCTGCTCTACACTATGATAGCTGGGTGAGTTTATAAGGTCTTAATACAACTCACACTCACAGGTTGTGATACAGTTTAGGTGTACACTGTATGCAATGTTGCAATTTTCTTCAAAGACTCCTGCAACAGCAATAAACAGGATGTCTAAATACCCCCCCGCCGGTGAAATAACAGTGAGACAATAAGAGAGAGTCATGCATTTTTTATTAGATTGAATTGCTTTCTGTAAGTGGGCATTGTTGTTGGTCAGTTTCAGCCCATTTGCCAGCAGTCCCGAGGACACAGCAGAGGAGATTCTGGCTCAGATCGGCTGTGGGAAATTCATTATCACAGGAGGAAACTGGGAGCTGGTGTCAGAAGCAGCCAAGGTTCAAACATCTTAATGCTTTCTGATTTGCATAAAATGGAAATGTTTGCCTCTAGCATCGTAGTATCAGTGCAGAACAAATATATTAACCGTTCATGTCCCCATTTGTTTAACAGGATATCGTGGTTAAGATGCTCCATGTGGACCCCCACCAGCGTCTGACTGCCCCACAGGTACCATTAGTCCATAACATAAACTGGCCTGTCATATGGCATATTGTGCTATTAGTATAGTATCATGTGTTTGACTATATACCTACACTGTTTGCAATACTACAGATGTATCATGGTTGTGGTGTTACCACGTTATATACATTATATACATTCAGAGCTGATATCAGTTTTACTGTGATGCTTTTCAGGTTCTTCGTCACCCCTGGATTGTTGAGAGAGACCAGCTCTCTGACAAATGTCTCACCAGACAAGATCCACTCATTGTCAAGGTCAGACCCTTTGTACTGTATGTAATTACAAATACAGATTACTATAGAGATAAGCATATTATCCCCTGTATCGTGCTAATATAGATGGAAAAATCACTTATATATCTATTGCTCAATCTAAAATCTTCTAAGGAGACCTCCAAAGAAAAGTGGATGTTTATAGTTTTTTGGGGTGGGTATTTTTATACTGTAGCTCCTACATTTTATGCTATTAATGTTTTGAGTTTGTAAGACTGCTACCTATATCAGGTCACTGTAACAGAAACTTTAACATTTTATTTAACCAGGAAGTCCCACTGAAATAAAGTGAATTCTACCTTAAAACAGAAGTTTGGTTCATCTTCGATGTTTAATGCAGAGTAGTCTTAAAAAGTATCTGGGAAAAAAACACTTAAATTGTACCTGAAAGTATCAGATGTATTTGGATAGAGGAATGCAGCTTATAAATCGCTCCATTTTTACCAGCAGTGGTGCTGATTTACTGGTATGTCCATATTTTCAGTATTAGAGTGGTCTCCTATTAAACTGATTAATTTGCACAAAAAGAAGTAGGATTCAAAGTTGCATGCATAGCTTTATAACTGTTTCAGAGTAGTCCTCAAGGTCTGATTAGTTGATAATAAATATAAGTACACAATTTTAGTAAGTATAATTCTATAATTTCATACATGCCACAAAAATCTGTTATTGTTAAATTGAAAAGGCATAGTTAAAGTACTAAATAAACACTGTAGAGTAGCCACATGTGGTAAATGATTTATTAGTAATTCTAATAGGTTAACCTCATAGATTAAGTATACATTTTAATCATACATTTTAACATAGGCTATTAAGGTACATAAGAGAAGATGCACTTTACTTTAAAGCTTGGGAATTCTTTTGTTATAACAGGTACAAAAATTATATATATTTAATAGCTAATATAATTAAATGGGTAACCATCAAATAGATTGTCTGGTCAATAATTCCTTTAAAATGGCTCTTTTGATAGTAAAGGTGTCACCTGAATTACACTGATCCAATACAATGCATTCTACTTTCATTCCACTAGGGGGCTCTATCTGCCACCTATTCTGCTTTGAGGCGCTGTGCTCCTGCCCCTGTCCTGGAGCCTGTTCAGTCTTCTGGCCTTGCTCAGCGGAGAGGGATGAAGAAACTCGGGAGTCCAAAACTCACTTCAGATCCTAAGGAAAAGGAATAGCCTCAACCATTTGAATGCAGCACAAATATAATTTTAGCTTTTAATCGTAGACCTGCATTCTAAAAAGCACAAATCACATCTAATAAACTATAACATGACAATATAGAGGCCTTCTTGTACTGGCACCAGGATTAGCGTCAAGTCACTCGGTGAATTGTTTCAATTTTAACAGCTTGATGCACTGATATAAAATTCATCACATGCACCTTCATTGGAAACTGTGAAACTGAGTGGCTTGAGGAAGTCAAATAATAGACCTTAAAATAAATTATTCTTAATTTTGAAAAGAGAATTTTCAATTCAAACATACAGACATTTTATTTTAAAAAAAATTGCTTCTAACTTACCCGTCCTTTGGAAGCTGGCCTTGATTTCAGTTGGTTAACATCCTTGGTCATATAAGTGGCAAGACTGTCTTACAATACACACAGACAAACTTTTATCTGCCTTGAATTACTGTATATTTGCAGGAACGGCTGCAGTTCAAAGTAAGAAACAGAAGACTGAAAAAACGAGTATTCAGTGCCACAAACATAAAAGTAGCAGTATGGTTTATATATTTTTGTATGTCAACAAAAGCATAGCATTTATTGTTCCAAAGTCATAACTTATACACACAGCATCTCTCTTAGATTAGCATATTTTACTCCAATCCTCAGACTCATGCCTGTTAAAAATGTAAATATCCTACCAAAGGGAATTATTTATTTAAAAATGCCATCTACATTAAGAACCACTGGATGTTGCACTCGAGCACCAGCAGAACAAAACAACCTAGCGTAAATATATATATTGTACGGCTGAGGTATAGTACAATTAAAAACACCAGAGGCCAGTGCCACTGGCACCTTTCTGTACCAGATTTTTATTTATTTATTTTGCCAGATTCAGCTGCTTTCATACGGTGTTGTTCATGTCTGAGGTGGAGCAACACTTGTTGGGAGACTTTAGTCCTCAGCAAGTCGTCATTCAACTGGAGTAACATCATTTCCACTTTACCCATGTCTCTTCTGTTCTGCTCCTCTGGAATATACAGCTACTGAGATACTGAACAGCTATGCTCAAATTTCAAAACACACAGGAAGACTGACTATTTACAGAACCTATAGCAATGCCATTTAGTCTTATTGGTAGAAAATGTGATCAAGATTTTTCTTGCATAATTGTCTTCCACAGCCTTTGATTCACTGAGTAGTCTTTAAAAGAAACATGGCACACTCTGCAGTCTATACATTTTAGACAACGTCCAGCATAATTCATCAATTTGCATGTGCTCAAATGTGTTTATCAGTAGGCTTATGTTTGCCATTAGTATCTGAAAGCCAAAACATTGGAGAATCACTGTGTCAGATTTTTGTATATACTGTCTAATGCTGCTGCCCTGATTTTATCTAATGAGATGTTCACTCATAAAGACGAGGTATGATAGAACAGGGTTTTTTGCAGATACTAGTAGCACTTTGTGTTGTACAGGTAAGCCGTAGCAATGTAGATTATAATGCTCCACAAGTTAGAAACATACTTGCTGATCAGAGGTAAAACGTTTTGAGATGTGCAAGAAATAAGCACTGTAGTAGAGACAATACATTCTGGACACAGTTTTGTTTGCCAATTCAAAAACTGTGGGTTTTGTTGCACTGCACAACGGCAAAAGGTGTGGCTGGCGAACTGATGAAACTATAAGTATGCAGTATGAGTATGTGTGTTGTACAACCGTAAAAGTAATGTTGTATATATTGTTTATTAATTTAGACTGTACGTACTGTTGTGCAAAACCAACAGTATGTTGTATCAGCAGGCTTGGTTGTACAACTGTCAGCAACCAGGAAGACCGATATATTGTTTAGCAAATATATTGGGACTGTACATATTACATTGTGTTGTGCATCCATTGCTGTGTACATACTGTCTATACCCAGCCAATTGTTGAAGATATTGGCCAGAATGCCAAAGTTTTACAAATAAAGGAAAAGAACGGAAAATGACATTGAAGTGTATGAAGAGCTGGTTTGATTTGTTATTCTGACTTGTGACAGAAGCGCTCCCAGTAACTTGATCGATGACATTAACCTGCATGCAATCAATCAGCCATTGCCTAATAAGGATTTGGCTTGTAAAAATCTATATTTTCATAACATAAACAAAAGGTCCTGTTCCATTTAATTGCTGTGAAGTCAGTGTAGTTTTATATTTAATAAGAAGGGTCACACCGAAAGAAATTATTTTCCAGTCATTAATAACCATTTCCTAATATCTACAAATACTGAGAAAAATGTTTGACACCAACTTGCCTGTGAGGGGTAGAGGAAATCTCTTATTACCTGCCTTTTTTAGGAGTGAAATCTACTAAACCCAACATTTTAAACCTTCATGGTGCAGCAGCAGCAGCAGCAGCAGCAGCAAGCCAGAGTTAAAGCCACTAGATGGCAACCAATCATAGTCCATCCTTTTGCTCTCTTTCCACTGCTTACTTGAAGTTGTCCCTTTAGAGCCATAATCCCTGAAAAAGAAGAAGGAAAACTCTTTAATTTATATCAACCACCAGGCACACCATAAAAGCTTTTAGCAGGCACTGAGCTGATGTGTCAGGTGGGTGTGGCGGGCTCATCAGCCCTGACATTTAAGTGCAGTAGTGCTCGGAGCAAAAGGGATTGTAGGATATGAGTAGATACAGATGACAAGCCCCCCTGTGAAGATGATTGCAGTGGAGTGACAAGAGGAGACCAAACAACAGACATAGCAAGGAGAAGGTGTCGGGAGGGGAGAGATGAAAGGCAAAAGAAAGAACAAGAGCTTTGAGAAACAATAACTCAACCCGGCAATTACAGCTTTGTCAGATTTTATGTTATCTTTTCATAAGGGGAGAACTTCAAAAATGTACTTAGAATCTTAAGAGTATATCGCCATTTTGAATTTATTGAAATCTTTGTAACTTTACCTTATGACTATGGAAAAATACAAATGATTGGTTTTGGTCTTAGGATTTTATATCATATTATTATTATTATTATTATTTTTAAATCTGTGGATATTTAAGTAAACCATGAGTTGGAAAACTGGTTAGCACCTGATATAGGTTAGCACCCTGCAATATGCAAGTTTTCAAATGCCTATGTAAGCAACTTTCTGATTTAGTACCAACAGTGGTGTTGTTGAAAGGGACATGACATTTTTCTGTAAAGTTAAGACATTAATATTTGCAGTATTTTGGTTGCCTCATCGCTACATTATTATTTTTTTTTTTTTTAAAGCTATTTCATATTGTCATAAAGATGAGGAAGACCAAGATGGATGCAAAGACGACAAAACAACAACAACAAAAAAAACCAACAAAACAAAACAAGAAACACTGTTACTTTATGAAATCCCTGGGAAGTGAAGTGTTCCACTTAGGAAATCACCTGGTACAGTCACCTTAACACCATGTCTTTTAATGACAAACCAGTCAAGCTGCAGTCCTAGATCCACATCCTCATTCTATGTGAGATGTACCCCACAACCAGACTGTATCAGCCCTCCAGAAGCTGAGCTACAGTATGCTAGGCCTAACCTGAGGTACTGACTTCCAGCGTTGGCTGAGCCAGTGTAGCTTTCATCCTGGATGGAGGGGTTGACAGGCCCAAGCACTCTTTCTCAATGTACATGTACTTTTGTAAGTGTTTAATACATTCAGCGAGAGTTTTGTTTGTTTGTTTGTTTGTTAGTTGGGTTTTTTTTTTAATGGCAATATTAAATGCCATTTCTGAGCCTCCTCTTTGGGAGACCTCTGCTGATCACCTGCATGCAGAGATGTCTGAAATATAGCCGCTGGCTACTGAAGTAAAACATTTTGGTAGTTTCACAGCAAACTGTAGTCTGTGCTTTTGGGACATGAGAAATGACATATGCTCAAGCCAAGCCAAGAAGTGGGGGCCTTTTCCATTCCCTTGCCCTTAAAAAGAACAGGAGCTCCTCCTGCTGGGGATGAAGGGAAAGAGAGTTTCTTTTGTTATGTTTTTGTTTTTGGTTGGACACCCTACAATTGGCAAACTGCCTGGCTACAGAATACTTTCATTGTTTTGTTACCCCCTGAGCATGATGATACTGAAGGGGTGCTTGGTGGCACTGTCATTTGTCCTAGCATCTCCTCTCTTTGAACTAGAGGGGATGGAGACTGATGCTGGATTCCATCCACCTAAGTAAGATATTGGAGTTGGGAAGTATAGTAGTAGCAGTAGTCAGAAGAGAAAGAAAAAAAAAACATATTTTTTATACTCCCTAGGCAAGTTAGAGCCACTAATACATCACAAAACTTGCAATGTGTGTGCACTCACAGATAGAAGCTGGCTGTGCATGGCTTATGTAATGAGTCACACACAACAGTGTGAGCACAGATTACAGGTTTTACAGTTTTACTGTATATGTTCACTGCTGCCATCTTGGATTGTGAAATCAGGGCTGGAAGCGCTCTCCAGCTTTCTGAGCTGGAAATCTGAGTTGAGGGGGCATTCCAGTTGCAAATTCTAATTTAGAAGTTGAACTTTCTGGCTTCCCAATTCAAATGGAAAGCAGTACGAGAAAGACCTGATAAACTGGGAACTGCAGAAGCACCTGAATCATAAACTATGAGGGCATTAGTTTACCCTTTCCATCCCTTCATGAGGTGATACAGAATACTGATTAAACGTTAGGTCAAACACTTCTTCTTACCCTCCTTTGGGCATGACAAGTTTCTTGCAGCCACCACTAGAAATAAATGCTTTGCCTCAAAGCCTTGTGGTTTCTGCCTGCCTTGGCCTCCTGAGCACATTGGGACGCAGAGGATGAAATAATAATAATAATAATAATAATAATAATGGATTGGATTTATATAGCGCTTTTCAAGGCACCCAAAGCGCTTTACAATGCCACTATCCATTCACTCTCACATTCACACACAAGCTACAGTTGTAGCCACAGCTGCCCTGGGGCAGACTGACAGAAGCGAGGCTGCCATATCGCGCAATCGGCCCCTCTGGCCAACACCAGTAGGCGGTAGGGTAAAGTGTCTTGCCCAAGGACACAACGACCAGAACTGAGAGCCCGGGGATCGAACTGGCGACCTTCTGGTTACAGATACGCTTCCCAACCCCCTGAGCCATAGTCACAGAAAGCTTCTTTCTGTCTTTCATTTTCTCCAAGACTGGGCCACAAAAGACCTTTGGTGGGACACAGCGTACGTCCATGACTCCAGCCTTCTTTGTCCATGATTGACAGGTTTAACCACAAGACTGTCCCACCAGAGACTGCAAGGCTCACCCACAGCCTTGGACTCCTCCCCAGGAAGAGCATGGAATAAGTGTATAAACCACATATATTTTATACCAGAGTACAAGGCTTGGATTCATATCTTCCAAGTCTTTTCTTGATAAACAGTGTGACAATGTTAAGGGAACATGCTGACTTTGCTGTATAGTGAGATCAATCTGCAGTAACACATAAATTATACTTCTGCGTCAGATGTACATCGTAACTTACAACATAACCGGAACCCTTTCTTCTGATGTGCACCTCCTGAGAAATGTAAATACACGCCAGGTCAACTGCTGGAAGGTGGTGTCATCCTTGTCCTCCTTCATTTTGTCTAAATTGAGGTCTGTGTTGACGTCGCCATCCAGGTTACCCTCATTTCAGTTGAGGAGTCATTCAAATGGCCGGGACACAACCAGTTCTTGCCCTCTATCATGTTTACCCATCTTGTGGTGGCTCATAGTTGATGGATGTCAGTCACAGCATTAGTGGCTGACAAGAAGGGGTCCTGCTGGGGTAGCAGCTATAACCATAGCCTGTTGGAAAAGGATGACATGTTATGCCATCTGTAGGTAGCGCTAACATCTGGGTTAAATCCAAATTGACTGTGTTAGCATGAGGGTTAGAGGCCATAACATGGCTAAACGAGTACGTCACCAAATTGCAGCTTCACATTGCTCACTTTTTCACTGTAGGAATCACTTCAAAGTTAGAACAGCTAATAATTCACATTATAACAGTCTCCTCTTTAGTTACATCTTTGCCTTTATATTCCAACATTCCCCTTCTGTCACAAAACAGAGGTCCAAAGAAAAGGGATATACACACTGACAGGGACAGATATCCCACCACCTATGGCACTGGATGTGCGTACATGCATATAAACACACACACACAGAGAAACAGACCCTTGGACACCCTGTGGCATTACAGCTCGACCTGCCACTCGGACATTCACCGAATCAGACGGACAAATCTCTAACAGACGGCTCCTGACAAAGAGATTATCACCGTGACAGGAGAAGTGTGTGCAGCTGTGGGTGGTAGAGTTTATAGCAGGAAGATGGGGGTAGGGAGCGAACTCGGTACTTTCACACATTTGGCTTCTCTGCTCTCTCTCCCTCGCACTCTCATCACACCGGCATACATAGTCAGACTTCTCTCTATATGAGTAGCAGATGCATTACCTTTCATTACATGTGTGTGTGTCCATGAACATGTGTCAGGCCAGAAGAGAGGGACTCTAAAATCAGTTAACTGTACTTTAGAGGTTCTGCATAAGAATGAGTCCAGGTGTAAGATTTGTTGTCATTTTAAACTGTGTGAGAACTTTCCTTGTATTGGTGTTATGCTATAATTCACCCTTTGTATCTTACAATTAATACAATACGAATTACATCTCCCAGCTATATGCCAGAGCTCTGTGACAAACAGGTGCGATACGTGGCACACTGTAGTCTATGCAGTAGACTCCACCCAGCCTTTTTCTGTTGCACTGCTCATCAAAGCAATTTCAAGCCAACTTAGCTTCTGAAGGAAGGATATGTTACAGTGTTGAATAAAACAACAATGTCTGCTGTAGCAATGGTGTCTGGTGCACAGCAGCTAAATCAAAGGAGGGAAAAATGTTTACCACTTTATACTCATTAAATTTGTAAGAAATAAAATAAGTACAGCAATATGAAGGCAACACAACAAAAGATTTCGGTGCAACAGGGTTAAGTATAAACTCTTCAGTTATATTAGTGTCTTACTACAGAAGTTTTAAAATTAAAATATACATTGTTCATTCTTTTTTTCCACCATCAGTCCCAAGTGCTCAACTTCAGCAGTATATTTCTGTACATACTTTATGTGACGTCAAACTTTATGGACTGCTGCAGGGTTGTTATCTGGCTCTTTAATTCAAATCTATATTAAAGTGGCATTAAAGTTTTTTAATAGTGTTGAGGATACTCAGGCTAAATCAAGGCATCAAACCTGCACTTATCCATTCGTGTAGCTAGTTTTGTGCCAGAATCATGGTCCTAAAAGGGAACAGAATCAATAAGAAATACCACACTGATGTTACTCTGCGTATTGCTTCACTCACATATAAATTTAACTGGAGAAAAGTTCATTTCATTTATAATCACAAACAATTTAACCACGAATGCCACCAATCTTTGCTCTAATTGTACAGAGAGTTATCAAGTAGCCACTGTGGATGAAATGGCTGATGGGACACAGTTTGATATTTTCAAACAGTTTTTGAACAAACCACAAATTGCTGCAATGACGGTGATATAATCATGTAATCCAAACACAAATACACTCACAAGTCAAAGGTGCCAGAGGAGGATAAGTGAAGCTCTGTAGAAAGTCAATTAATCTTTTCAGCGGTCCCCCTTCCCTCCGCCCTGCTTAAAAGCTTCATTTACCTCCTATGGAGAAGAGATAGAAACACCATTAGTGAGATGATGGCAGGACTGGAAAGGGGAAAGGAGAATCTCACAGTTGGATGAGCTGAAACAGTATAGGCCCCCATCTCCTCAAAAAGTGTGTGTGCGCGAAAAAGGCGAGAGCATCTTCTGCATGGGTGAGCTCAATTAGGTTCCATCTTGATTATCAAAGGTAGTGGTGTACAACTTTTAAGGCGGAAGTGTGCCTCAAATCCTGGTAATGGCAAAGGGTGGGCCGACCTGCAGAGTGAAGCAAGAGTTGGACTGATTGGAGTGGAGATGTGACTGAGGTTGGGTTTTTTTTGTTGGACAGAGGTGCTATACAAGGTGTACATTAGGGAATAACACCCTAACCACTATTTCCATATCTAAAGTAATGTGCGTGTGTGTGTGTGTGTGTGTGTGTATGACAGTGAGAGAGTGTGTGGCATTCGAGCCCAGCTGGATAAGTGATATTCATGTGTGTTTGCATGCACGCGTTTGGGTGTGTGAAATGCCAGTGAGCATATAGGCTTCGCTTGACTGAGCTCGGCTGGCTGCTGGGGCACAATTGGGGGGCTCTCTGTGTAAAGAGGTCAAAATACACACACATACAAACAACAGTGAGGAAGTTTGGCTGAATACGCAAGGCTCTGATAATCAAACAGTATGCAAATCAGCCAAATCCTATGCAGAAACAAACAATATGCCATATGAATCTAAGATTACAAATACACTACACTATGAACGATTCCAAACCTCACATTACTTATATATGTCACAGTGTTGCCACATTAGTCTGTATACATCTTGACATTTAAATTCAAGCCACCTGAGCTCGCAAGTTTCAAAATGATGTACGTCGAGGTGCAATATGTTTTCCTCCTCTCCCTGTTGATCGTAATTACTGCAGATCTGATCTCAGGGCTGTAAGGTTTTACTTGGGTTAATACACTTGCTGGCAGAAGAAGGTCAAGTTAAATCAATAGTAAGAGCATAGGCAAACCCTGGGCTGAAGTCTTGCAGGGATAACTACAGGCAGGAGGCCAAGTCCCCATCTTCTTAATTACAACCAGCTTCTAGTGCTGACCCTGAAGACTTCTACAAGTCAATAACATGCACACAGTTCAATATGTGTTCTATTACTTGCACCGTATAACTCACACTCCTTCAGGGACAACGGGCCACAGGCTGACTTGAAGATCTGTCAAACTAATCATTAAGGAGTTTGGAAAAGACAGTGCTGGTTTTCCTTTATGCAGCATTGTCTCTGCATGCCCTCCCATGTGAATGTGTGCATGGTTCAATGTGTCTCTGTGCCTGTTTTCACTAGTCTAGTGTGTAAACAAATGTTTTGTCCCAGTTAACTAGGTCCCAGTCAGACCAAACCCATTTGGCATTGGTCCACTGATGCTGGTGTGTGCATGCATTCAGGCTACGGCAATATATAGATATATGTGGGCATATGTGTGTGTTGTGAACATGGCAGCCAGGGGGATAGCATGCTGCTGCTGCTGCTGACACTGGGCCTGTCTGCCTGGTGTGCCCCTTTCTGCACCAGTAGAGCTGGCACTACCTCCTGCCTCTGCCCAGCGCGCCAGCTGGGCGCTACCAGGAGAGGCCCTGCAGAGAGAGGACACAGGTCAGCTGTGACAGAGGGATGCAGAGAGAGAGAGGTGTGGAGTAAAGGGGAAAGGTTTAGATACAGAGCGGGGATAGAGGGATACAGCATAGTCATAGAAAGTTAAAAGAAGACTGAATACAAAGCAAATAAATATTTCACTATTAAACAATGACATTATGATGAAAATGGGTTGTCATTATAGGCATAAGATGACCTTTTGTGTTTGTCTTGTGACATGTGTGTGAGGTGGGATTCACTTCAAAAGTCTGATAGTTTAATGTAAACCACTTATATACATTCTGAACACCAATTTGAATTTTATACCTGAAAAGTAGCATTTACTTCCACTTTTTCTTGCCCAATGTCAAAAGGTGGATTCTGAGAAAATCAGATGTGTCAGCATTAACCATCTAACAGTTTGTAACCTTTCTGGTTCTTTTAATGACATATCATTTAGATGCATTTGATATTTGCATACGGGACTTGGACGCTGTATTACAGTCTGTGGTTCTGCAGTCATTTTGTTGGAGTGTCCAGGTTATTATGTCAGAACGGTCAAATGAATTTACAATATAATTTGTTCCTTGATTATGTGATTTTTAAATGTTTTATTTTATCAAATTACACCACACTTAATTACCATTTCGAGACATCTATAAATATTAGTGTCAACTTTTCAAACAGACATTTTCTACAAATCAATTAATAAATGTTAACTACTATTTCATTGTTTGGTAATAGTACATAACTAAAATAAAATTAACTATGAATTAACAAGGTTTTTCTCAACACAATAGTGCATACATTCACTTTGGACCAGCTGCCCGAGAGATGTATAGTATTTGCTTGAATTTACTAAGATTACAATTTATTCTACAAGGTGAAGAAAAAAATTATATAAAACTTGCCAAGATATTTCACAATCATATCTCATGGCTGTATTGCCTTGTATAGCTTTCTTTATAGGCTTCTTGTTCTTTAGAAAAAACAAAAGCGATAAACTTTTTTTTTACCAAAATCTTTATTCTTTTTATTTTTTTTAACTTTAGCCACTGTAGTTAACTAAGCTGACTGGTTAAGTGAGCTTCACTTGGGATATTTTAATCTAGACGCTGTGTTTCTGTGACATAATGACTCTTTCCCAGCACTATTACTCAATTAGAACAATTTCATATCATCTTTTTTGTTTGCAGCCTGCAGCGAGGTGCGACAAATGAGTCTTCTCGGTAACAGATGACATAAACTAAGGTTGGCAAAGATATCCAAATTGTAGCTATAAACAAAAAGTATGTGTCTATTCTATGCTGGCACGTTCAAGATATACACATGAAAATAAAATAAGACATACGAGTTCATTTGGTTCCTGTGAACACCTTAAGATCAATGAGGCTCTGTGTTTCTTGGTTTGCTCATCCATGTGTAAATGAGACTATTTGCATTGTACAGTGATTAGGGAAATTAGAGACCTGCTGAGGGAAATCACATTGCGTGCTCAGCCACAAGGAAGTAGGGTTATTGCTGTCTACAACTGTCAGACACTGACACTAGGCTTTGGGACTTTTCCATATGGCATGAGATAATATTCCTGGGAGGCAGAAGGTGAAACCCCTTTTAACAGTTGATTCCCCTAAAATTTTATCTTCCTGCTGATAATCTACTGCACTCTGGTCAAAGAACCAAAGTCATGTTTTAAAACTGCATAGGTCTGAAATGAAGAGGAGTACATTTTCCAATTTTTTCTTTCAATCAGTCAGGAATCAGTCAGTGCAAGACATCTTTTAAAGTCACTGTCATCTGCTTGACTCTGACCACCTACATTTATTCACAATGTTTACCTAGAGGCCCGCACAGTTTATCTTGTACAGCCTCACAAGATTTTGTGAAGTCAGCCATATAAACAATGTAAGCTATCACAAGGAAATACATAAATTACATCAGTTTTTTTAAAGATAATTTTGATTAGGGCTGTGATGGGTGTTAAAAGGTGATGAATGGCAAAGCTGGGCGATTATTAGAACATCCATCCTTTGCAGAACACTTTCAAAGCTGCACATACATATTATCTGCATTTTATAGTGTGAAATACTCGTTGGTTATTTGTGAATTGTACTCACCTGTGATGTATTGCAAAAAAAAAAAAAAATGTGCTGAGAATATATTAAGCATTACCTTAGAAATCAAACTTATGTATAGTTCCATTGCTTTATCTTTCAACGTGCCCAATTACTCCATCAAAAGAAGTAAAGCTTAATGATCCTGACTGGGACTTGGGTGGCAACACCTTTGTTCCCCCGAGTCAAGTCACAAACTAATGAGTTTAACTGGATGGTAAATAACAGCACAGGCATGTCAAAGGTCTCTGACCTTTCTACTCGAGATTTGCAGTGGACTACACTGAACAAACCCTTTCAAGGTCCTGCAACCTATCATTAAGAAGAGCAGCTTAGACGAAAGCGCCAGAACAACAACAACAACAACAATAATAAAAAAACAAACATTTTCTCTTGTTGTTTGCTTTCTGTGCTTCTGTGCCATCCTGAGGGAAGTTAATGGGGCAAAACATTTGCTGAGTAAATCATTCACTGAAAATGACAATAGAGACAATAAAATAAAAGCTCTTTGTGTAAACTGCGAAAAAAATAGGAACGCTAATAAAGAACGCCTTGTTTTTGAGAGTTAGGCTTAGAACAAATGTATTCCTGGTCGCTTAAAGGACAACATCTGGTCTTATGACTTTCGTCACTATGCTATAATTAGGGCTGAACGATATATTGCATTTGCGATAATATCGCGACATGATCAAGTGCAATTTTCTAACCGCAAAGGCTGCGATTATACTCTGGACATGTCCAAATTCATGGGCTGCATTTGTAGACCGATTACGTCACAGCGACGCGCCGAAGGCTGTCCAAATTACTACCATATCCCAGAATTCATAGCGCGGCCCAGCCAAACTCCAGTTTCCAGCAATGGCGGCCGCTACTAAGTTTTAAAATTACTCATACTAATCTTTCTGGGTCACAAAATAAACTTTTAACATATTTTCAGGCGAGAAAGTAGCTGTGTAAACATCAAATATCTGCTCGGTTTATCAAGATATCCCATATTTGCAAAAGTGCTTCGACGTTTTCAGAGGCGTCTGCTACCCTCCGGCTAGCTCGACAGCTAGCCGGAAGCTCGAGGGTTACTGATGCGGCCGAGAACGGCACAACTCCCGGCACATCATTTTCAGATCACCGCGGAGTTTCGCTGCTCGGGTTAAACGTAATATATAAGTCACTTAGACAACCTAAAAATGTTATTGTTGGGCTTTTTTCAGTGTTTTGTTTGTTCGTGAGTAAATCGGTTTGGCTGAGATTAAAGTTATTAGATTAGATAA